TTAATATCCAATGTTTATTCTTGTGTTAGAAATTGAATTTTAGAACGAAAACTAAGTTTTTATTATTTGTCATGTATCTGCTTAATTTAATTTTGAAACTTTTACTCATAAAATTTATGCTGGAATTTAGAGCCCGCCGTTGAGTAGAGGTTAAGAACGTGGGAATAGAGGTAAGAATCCCAAGTTCCAGAACTCGATCCCAAATTCAGCTAACTCGGTATAAAGTAGCATGATATCAAATTGAGGTTATAGATTTCAAATATATTCTCAAATGAAAGTAGCTAAGAAACTAATATTTAAAAAAGCTAAATGTCTTCATCATATAGATATCGCAATTAAATATTAAAAAAATGGAATCTATACAATGTAATTAAATTCAATTGATAAATAATAAATTCATACAAGTACTATAAGAAACCTAAACACAGTAATAATGTCTGTATCATTAACTAATTGTTTAAATGTTAAATATTTTTTTTATGCTGAAGTAAAATACTGCTTGAGTTAATATATAGCCAAACAGTCATATAACAGCAATCAGAACAGATTGCTATTAAACAATGTTAAAAAAATTGTCAAGTTATGTGATAGTAAAACTAATATTAGTGATTTACATGACTAGAAAAATATTAGATAGTATAGTAATTGAGAAATTGTAATTCATATTGCATAATAAAAAATTTAACTTTTATTTTAATGAATTTGATTAGTGCCTTTTTAACTTTAAAAAAAAATCTTTTATGGTTATTTGGTTAGCAACCAAAATTTTATATTCGATTTCATTGTTTCTGAACAAAAATTAACAGTATTTAAGTTTTTGAGATCCAAAATTAAAAGAGGGCGTAAACATATATTAGTTCTTGATTTTTTTGTTCGAAAGTTTTTATTTAATTTAATATAGAAAGTACATTGTATGATTTTTCACATAAAAACCTATCTTTATTTGTAGATCACAAAACAGTTATTTGAACTTCAATACATTGAACATAACTATTACTTAAATCTAGTTATTATTAATTATATGGCAAAATTATCACAAAACCATAAACAATATATAAGGATAACACTACTGTATTTCTCTTACGTGGTTATAAAATTTAGTAAAACTCTCCTTCGTTGTTGGGTTATAATTTAACCCTTGTAGCTGTGGACTGTATTAAACACTGATTTGTTTGTATATTATGTATTTGTTGCTGTTCTTATTACAATCACTGATTTGTAACTAAGATATAATGAAAGACAATACATTTATTATTTACTATACATGTTGTTTCGCGGACTTTACTTTTAGAAGTGAACAATTACCCCCTCTACCAGGGGTAGCAACAATTCCGTGCAAAAGCTCAATGCCATGAAGATTGTCACCTTCATGGCCAATATAATAAAACGAAAATACGTCCGAACAACCACATTAACTATTCTCTATATTAATGTTAATGTGGTGTGGTCTTTGTATATTGTTTATGTTTATGTGATATTTTTGACACATTATTAATATTAACAGATAAATTGATATTGAAACATTTTGTTTATTTATTGTGTTAGGAACTGGCACACTTAAGTTTTTTATAAAACTTGGACATGTATTAGTACGTATTGTAGTTAACAAATATTAAGCAGTACATATGTACAGGTAAATTTATCTTGTACATATTCGATGTTTTTTTTAAATTTTTCCTATTTGCAGTGCAATTTCATATACTATTTCTATTCCACAATTCTTACAAAGACGTAAAAACAATGCAAATGTCAATCTATTTCAAGTTTGATTGATTTGGATTCTATGCAATCTTCATAGTAAACAAACTCACTTTTCTGTCAATCACGTTTTCTTGCCTAAGTTTTTTCACAAAATGTAATTCGTTTTGCTGTCAGTCGGCGTCACATCATTATTCAAAGAACGCGCTTCTTCTCTTCAGATCGACATCTGTAAACTTGAATCTATGATATTTGTGTCGTCGGAAAATAATATTGTTCAAGGTCGTGGCCTAATGATCAACATTTCAAATATATGTTGTCGTTTTTGACATAATTTGTGAATTTATTCAAAATATTTGAATATTCAATGCTTAAATATTAGAATGTCACACACGAAGATCTGTCTACATATTGGCCGCTTGTCTTGACTGTTTTTTAGATGAATTTTTAATAGGAATTAAGGTCATATTTATTTTCCGTTGATGTTGACTATATTTTAAGTATTATCCGTAAACATTACAATATATATGTATAAGGGATATGGTATTATTGAATCTTTTATTTCTATGATTTATCTTGATAGTAAGCATTATGAGTCTAAAATATATTAATAAGATAACTTGAAATTATACAATAATTTTAAAGTTATATATAAGTTATATTATATAATTATAACTAATGACTTCAGCAATAGCAATTTATGATCACTATCCATCTTTATTTCGTAGAAATATAGTCAGTGATTCTCACGATATATTAATTTAAAAAAGTACTGTTACAACCAGCCCCTAGCCTTGCTAGTACTAGCAGAATAAAATAAAAGTTTTATTTTTTTATTATATAAGATGACCGCTATATTTTTTTAACTCATAAAGACATAACGTTATTTGCATTGCATTCGATCTTTGAAATGTTTATTTAAAGTTGCTTTTGTTTATTTTATGTGGTTCAGTATTAACCGAGAGTGTGTGGTGAATGGATCCTTATTGTTTCGGTCCATTAGTCTGTTTATATCTGCTTAAACTGTTTTGCTTCTTATAATAATAGTAATATATTAATCAGATAATGTTTTTGATTTATTTACATTCAGAATTTGAGACGATAAATAAACTTAGGAGTATCGGTCTAAATATCAACTGAATTTTCAGAACTCAATAAAAAAGATGAATACGAAACTCTTAATGATTTTTTCTATTTTATTACCATCTTTTAACTTAATCATATTTTGCTGTTTCGTAATACTGGATGATGCACAAATCATGATAATTATTTTATTATTGTCTTCGCTACTCGAATGCTCTAACTTTTTATCATTGGTCACTTAACTGTTTTGAAACAGTTTTCAATTGTATTTCAATCGTATAATTTTCTTCTTCTGAAGAGTTAATTTCAGGTTATCATTATACGTTTAGGTATAGCATACAACTTTAAGTCTTTATAAATCAAACATTTGTCAAATCAAGCTTGTACAATAATTTACACTTGCAAATTCCATGCGATTGAGAGCTTCGATTTTCAAGTTGGATGCAGTTTCGAAGTTGACAAAACTTCTGATTCGTCACTGTTTAAGTTGCCACTTTGATTTACTAAGTCGTTACATAATTCAGTTTACGAACTTATTTATCTTATTTATTCTTCAGCGGTTTGATAAATGAATCTAATAGGAAAAATGAGCCAAATAATTTATGGGGTTTATTTCAAAGTGTATTTTACTTTTACTAATTAAATTAGTTGATCAGACTATTCACTACATAACAAAGAATATGAATAAAGAAGTAAATAATAAATTAAATTGGTAATCAGTGAGCAATTTTAAATTAATGATAATTTATATCAAAATGATTACCCAGTGCAATTTAATGCGGAAAGTATTTAACCCATTCCACTCAATGAATCAGTTCGTATTGAAGCGTCGAATAAAATAGATCAAGGATGTGCAACCCGCGGACTTTTTGCGGCCCTTTAAATATTTTTCTGCGGCCCCCAAGCATTTCTAAAAAAATACATATCTAAAATTTTATTTCATCAACCTTCTTCCATCAATATATCAATTCTAATATTATATTGTTTGTTGCGAAAATTTATATAATATTTACTTCTTTTGTTTTAGTATATTTATATTACAATGTTTATTAGTATGTATATCAAGTTTTGTAAATTATTAATAAGCGCGGCCCGCCATAAATTTCTGTAAATTAAATGCGGCCCGTAAGTTGTAAAGGTTGCTTATTCTTAAAATAAATCTCTGCAGAGATATATGACAGTGTTATCTTTCCAAAATTTACTATTGATACTGAAATCAAGCCTTTTGAAAATTTGTGTACACTTTAACATTCTGCAGAAAATAAATTTATACATTATTGTAAATGTATGTTCTACAATGTTTACAAATTCATATCAAACAAATTGCACAACATACACAATCATATCAAGTTTACATGCACAACATACACAATCATATCAAGTTTACAACAGGTACGTTTTTGTCAGAATGTGGTACCGAGTTGCTCGTTTTTGAATCATTGTTAAAAAAGATTTAACAATAAATCATGATTTTTAACAAAAATGAAAAGGTATCGTTAATTTTTCAGTAGGGGCAGAATTACTTTGGACTAACAAGGCAATGCGTTGTATATAGTAGCCAATTCGTATTATTGCGCATATCAAGTCTAATTTTTATACCTGCGTTAAACCTTTTTCTCCCCCATGACAACACTTGTGCGTTTGCATTTGGATCGGACCATGTACAATTGGCACAGTTTGCACTGGGATGTGATGGATTAAGCATCATTATTTTATCAAACAATTTTGGATTTTATTAATTTTATTGAATTGTGGTTTTTTAATCTTAATTAAAATTTTATATGAGAAATTGTTTTAATTTTGTGTTTTGTGATTTTTGGTGTGGTGAGTATATTTTTTTAAATATAGTTTTGAAAAATGTTTCAATGCATGGTTAATTTTTAGTGACCATTTTAGATTTGCTGAATGATGTCATAGATCATGTGTCGAAACGTATAAGAATTTTATAAGTGAATTCAGTGAGTTCGTTAACTTTGAATGATCAATTTCCAAATACTATGTGAATGTTTCTAATACGTATTATTAAACAAGTATACATTTAGTCAATCAGAACAATGCAAGTCGGTAATGTAACTAAATTTTCTCCTCTATCTTTTTTCTAGATTTCTTCATCTTTAATTTAGGTCTTTTAACGCAACATATCAACAATGAATGGATCTGTGTTTCGTCATCCATGTGTGTATCTCTCACGTTGATATTTGTTCTTTTGTTACAGAAATCCAGAGTTCGTCGACATCCGATGAGCCAAGTTATCGAATTGAAAAGTAAAAGTGCACCAGCTTAAAATGTCCGGAAAATTATGCGGATATGTTTGAAAATCGCGCGATATGTCCAGGACAACATGGCGCCCCATGATCAAGCTGAAAATCAATACAAAAAATCGATCAGGTTCTGGATAAGTGCAAATTTAACATGAAGTGACAATAGCGAACGGCGAGTGCTGTGCAGTGTGTGAGTGTATGTTTTAAAGTGATTAAGTGATAATTGATTGTGGGTGTCATTGTGATTAGAGATAATAACATTAAGCCTGGAAAGTTTGAATCGGTTGCCATGGAATCCGTTAGCAAGGTTATTCGAGCGCCATCGCTGAAGCGCGGCAAGAACGACGAGAGGTTGTGCGATCGGGTGAGTTGACTTCTTTACTTTCATTATTGTTTATTCTTTTTATAATTAATTTAATTCTTGGAGAAGTTGTGCTTCTGCGGTAAAGATGGCGTTAGTACAAAATGGTAAAGAAATCATCATTTTGTTGCCAAGTCCGAGATGAAATATCAGTATTTCTTACTAAAATTATGCGACAGAATCTGGTTATCGATGGTCATCAATCATCACAGAATTATTGATTAACTTAAAAAAATTGTGAAAAGTCGTTTAAAAAAAGCACCAGTATCAAGAACTCCTTATCTCCAGGCGACACTATCTTACCGTTATGATTCAAATAAGAAATCCGTTTTTTATATCAAATTCAAAGTTATTATTTGGTTTAACCTTTAGAATAATCAAAAAGAAGCAGATTTTTTATATCTTCAAGCCACCGTATCCGATTTTTGTGTTTAAAATAGTCTATTACGTCGAACAATTTTTTTTATCCCATAGATATTCATTAAGTCTAGATAAACAAGTATAAAGTGCATTTGGTACACTTCTATTTAAGCGCTTTAAATTTAAATTATAACTAGTGGCTTATTTTAAAAAGATTAAATTTTTTTTGAAACTAAAATGTTTGGATTTTTGAAAATTTGGATTTTATTTTAAATGACTTTTTGAAAAACTTAAATTTTCTTTTATATCTTGAAATTATTTGTAAATATTGAACTTTTTGTCAAATCAATCGTTTTAGAGACGAAATATCGAAGCGCGTAAACGCCGCGAAGCAGTCTAACAGATAAACATAGATGCGGAATCCATAGAAATGTAAACAAATTTTTTTACTTATTATTGGAATTTCTAAAAAGTATCTGATAATTTTATGTGCATATGTCTAATAATCATTTTCGTAAGCCAAATGGCATTATTTTCATTTTTAATTTGATCTCCGAAACCACTAGATCTGTCTTTTCAAAAATTTAAATAATTCTTCATTTTCGTATTGCAAATAAAATGTTGGTTTAATCATTCAAATCGGACGCTCTCTTATTGCAAAAACTGCATTACCCTTTTTAACACTTTTTGCTCCGTATCTTCAAAACGAATGGACTTGGCAAAAACTAATCGGCATGTCTCCCCACCAATACGAATCGAATGATTTTTAAATTATTCAAATTGATTGATTCACGAAATCGTCGATGAAATTTGTATCCGCACATACATACACACACATATACAACCATTTTTTCTAAGGTATGCCGAATTGTAATCATTGTAAACTTTTTATTATGAAAATTTAAGCAGTTATTAGTTTTAAGCGTTTTGATTTTTAAATTTTTGTATTTGTGTTCTGTAAAATTAAGTTGTATGTCTAATAAAATTCCGAAATATTTAAGTTTTTCCATGGTATGAAGTGGTAGTAATGTTTGAAAGAGGAATAATGTGTTTTTTCTTTCGTTTAGTATGTACTATATAGTATGCCTTCCTTGTTTGCATTATTGATTTCAATTTTCTATTTTTTACAATATTTCGCTAATTTCTTTCGTATTTAAATTTTTATAAATACATAGATCAATGATTTTATACATTTTGTAACTATTTGATTGCATAATAACATATAATATTTTGAAAGATATCAATCATTTTACATAAAACTGCAATAACATTTATCGGCGCGTTTGTGTGAAATATTGTGACATGAAATACAGGTTTGAATGTGACGCATGAAATTTGTATATTGCCATGATATCAGATATGAAGAAATATTGCATATAAAATTATTTAGTTTTTTATTCGTTTCCTGCCTCTAGAGAGGAATCTTAATAGAATGATGCTCATTCTGGATATTAGATGTTTAATTCATTAATTTATATATAAATTATTTTATTTATTGTAGTAGGTATTACATCGAATTATGATAAAATAAATTACTATCTTGTAATTCAAATCACTTTAGATCACTTCGTCCTTCTTTGCAGATAACTGCTACCATAATATAACCTGAAATTATTTTTTTAAAATATCTTTTTAAAATTCTTTAAACCATATATTATATGGTTAAGTTAGAATTTAAAAATAAAATTTTATTTACATATTGTTGCAAAAATTAGAAGTAAATTGTATTAATAATTGTAAATTAGTTACCACTGCTTCAGTTCTAATGCGCAGAAGTGAAAGACCTCCTCTGGTGGAGGGTTCTTAGGTCCATGCAATTTTAATAGTACGAGGGCATTTAGTTGGCAAGTGTAATAATATGAAACATCAATAATAAAGTAGCTTGGTTATATATTCAAACAGCAAACATGACTAGGTGTCCTATTAGCTGTTGTGGTTCATATTCTTCAACCATTTCCTAGAGTTTCAAGAAGTCAATCCAATAGTTGTCCATTCTTTTACTGATGAGATTATATTAGATACATTTGTTTAAGGCATTGCAGCAACGTCTTCCACTTGGCATCATATTTAGAGATATATAATCTCAAGTGAAAATTTAGTATCTACAGTACCTTTGAAGGCAAAACATTTATTAAAAGCTTTTTCCTTCAAGTAATGATGCAGTCAGTATGATACAAGTGCAAAAACGCATTTTGGTAGCTGATTTCGTAATCCTCAATAAATTCCATGCAAATTGTTTGTCACGCTTATGTAATAGATTTATAATTGTTGATTGTAATACCTCGATGGCGTGTGGGTTAAATGAGTATTAAATTTATTACGCGACATATTTTATTAAGACAGATGGTGAGAATTAATTATAACTTGATAATTTCAATCATGATACAAAAAAGTTGCTAGATGCGCAGTAGTACCTTTCTGTGTACTAGTTTTCTGTGTGCAATTCAGATACATAAATATAGAAGATAACGTGGAACATTTTGGTCATATGAAGTTATATTATAACGAATCGTACTAATTTAATTTTGTTATTTTATTTTTATTGTTTTATTATGTAGGATAAGTTATAGTAATCTACAATAAAATGTTGTATATATCTTTACGTTCTTGAGGTTTCTGAATATTTTGCCATACCTTAGAAAAAATTGATGTATATGAGTATGAGTGTGTTTTTTTTCTCTTGATTTTTATAATGGTTTCTTTATTTTACATAAATAAATATATACATTCTATATTACAACACTTTATACATAAGTGAATTTATATAACTATTCTTCTTTTCTTTTTTCTTTTAAATTCCTCTCAATGTGTGTTATTTCCTCAAAACCATGATATAAATTATATAAAATTCCAAATAGCAGTCAAATTTTAACATCTTTTTCCTTCTTTGATTTATTTTGTATATCTATTTTGATAAATTTATCGTCATCCTCAGTTACATCTATTTTCAAGATGTTTAATTTATTTTTTATCCAATCCCATATAATTTTCTTTTTACCACATTCAGTTAAATAGTGTGAAGCATTTTCCTCATTGCATTTTTCACATTTTTCTGTGCTGCTCATTTTTATTCTAAGAAGCCTTGTGTTCATTGAAATGCATTCATTAACTATCTAATAATTTTTTGTTTTCCATTCTGAATGTTTGGATACAAATTTTCATCGACGATTTCGTAAATTTGGATCAACCGATTTGAATAATTAAAAAAAAAACATTCGATTCGTGTTGATGAGATAACGGAGCGTCCGATTTGAATGATTCAAAAAACATTTCATTTGCGTTGAAAATGAAGAATTGATTCAATTTTTTGGGATGGCAGGTCTAGCGGTTTCGGAGTTAGAGTAAAAAAAAGTAAAAAAAAGCCATTTGGCACTCAAAAATGATCTTTAGACATAAGCGCATTAAATTGTCAAATATTTTATAGAGATTTTAATTATAAGTATAAATTTTATTTACATTTCTATGGATTCCGTACCGATGTTTATCAGTTGGACTGCGACGCAGCGCTTACGCGCTTCAATGTTACTTCTCTACAACACCTACGCAGCACGATTCTTTTGAGAAAGTTCAAAATTTTCAAAACATTTCAAAATATGCAAAAAAAAAAAGAATTTTTCAAGTCATTTTTTTTAGAAAATTTGAAAACTTCTTAAAATCTCATTTTTTGAAAGGTTTCAAAAAATGTTAAAGCTTTTTTTAAAAATTTAATTTTTGGTACGGGAAGTTCCAGCAATTTGCTTTAAGGCACGATGCCACTAGTCTTTTCTTGTATTTTTCTAAAAGATTTTCTTGAGTCATTAGATTATTTCATTTAAAATTCAGATATTAGATGTTTCATTTACTTTCTGTGAAGTACTATCTTTGACACCCTACAATATATATTCCTATTCAATTTTCTTCGTATAATTAATTTGTTTGCTAAATGTAAATTGATACGTTGCATCTTCCTACGTCAATTTATGAAAGAAAATGATACTGTTACGAACGAATGCTCTCGAAAATAATTGAATTATTAAGATACTCCTCCAACATCTAATTCATGACCTTAGTTCTCTTGATGCCGCGTGTAGATTGTGGCCCATCTCTATATTTGTGTAATATCTCATCATATTCTATTTATATAACTCGAGTGATAGATATCTATTAAATTGATGTTGATTATCTTGTAATTTATCTCAGCAAACCTTGTTCGCAGATTTTATTTGCAATTATTTGTAGGCGTTCGGATTCGTGTCCACTTATCGTCAGTACTGGACGATTTAACATATTATATAATTTATATTTTTTAAGTAAGTCAATTAATTTTTTGAGAGATGGATTTTGATTGTCAGTCAAATTAATAGGTAATCAGGAAAAAAATATATAAAGCTAAATAAAACTAGCTGTAAGTGGAATTCTGTCTTGAGGCTATTATGGCATCGTGCCTTAAGGCAAATTGCTGGAACTTCCCGTTGAATACTAATTGTTTTCAAATAGATTATTATAAATATTGTATCATTGTCTAATATAAAATAATAAAATAAAATCTGAAATATTTTCGATATACAAAAAACTGAAAAAAAAAAAACTAAAAAAAAAAAAAAAAAAATTGGAACAATTTTTTTTTCCAAAATCAATTATTTTGTTAAGACAAGCAGAAAGTT